TGCATCAGATAAACTTATCCAAAACGTGAGTAATCTTGCTTGGATGTTCATAAGACCACACGTGTCAATGTGTACCGACTCCAATTGTCCTTTATGTCTATTTCATCTGGCTGATTAAGCCCCAAGAGTTATCTATCCTTCAAAACAGGGTTCACAAGTTTGGTTTAGGCTCCTCTGCCTCACTAGGTAATTAACCTTCTTTGACCAATCTTTGAATCTCATTTTGACTGATTACAACCCAAAAATAGACGCTAAAAATACAATGAGTCAGGAATAACAATTTTTCTCTTAACATTCAATCTAGAAGATGCAACATTAGTTTCTACATCCTACAAATCTTAAGAGTTTGTGATTATAGTATATTAACCATCTTTCAATGCACCAAAAGCATATCTATTCAATTTTATAAAACCTGTTTTACTAAATAACAACACAGTTTTTATAAACCACAAGTGAAACAAGAATTAGATAGCGTTTAACTTCTGTGCATAAAGATAGTTCTCTAATATTAATATCCTCATATACTCTAATTTCAGATGTAATACTCCCACTGACTTAGCTACAACTTTGTCATCCGGTCAAGTACAAATATATTCCATATCATCGAGGCTTCTGGATTCCTGAAATCCTTACAATGAATTGCAAACATGTTTAGTGGCTCAAGAATCTATCCATCAGGAATTAATAGACGCAACCACATAACATGGCTCAATGATTAAATATATATTTTCCTATGCCACGTCATTGCTTAGACAATTCGTCCTTTAGTGTTTTAGTTAGCGACAAAAGAAACAATTTTCTTCGCCCTCAATATACACTGCCTTATTCCCTTTAACCTTTTTAAATACCCATGTTTTGTGCTAGCCTAGTCCTATTATCATCCTTCTTCTTTACTTTGCCCTTCCACTTGGGCCTAAAAGAAGATGGTATAGACTAGGTTAGATTAATAGGAACGCCTATGCTTTTGATTATCCCTTCATCTGTTACCAATTCTATAAGAATATCAGCGAGTATGAACTCAAACTGATTCCTTATTTAGTTCATTCTAAAAGAGTCGAACGAGTTTGGTAACAAGGTAATAATCATGTCAACTTGAAACTTACCACCCAAGTCAGCCCTATTGATCTCCAGCTAATTTTTAAATAATAAACAATCATTTTCAAAATTCGATTTCATATTGGAGTTCCTTAGGCTATCTTGATGGTGTTCAAGTCTAACATAGTACGTAGGCATACGCCCTATCTAATCTCACTAAAATATCTCATTAAGTATCTTAAAGTAAAGGAATTAGGTATAGGAGTATTATATACATTTTGTAACCTTACGTTGTGAATAAAATATCTAAGTTCTTTTTCCAGTCATTATAAATGAGGTCCAATATCATAGAATATGTAAGCAAGCAGATAAATGGATTAGACATAATTAATCTGAATATAAATGCATTCATACAATATACAAGGTGAATTATTAATACTGTCATGCATATTTAAAATTAAAATGAGCTTGTTAACCATATAATATAATAAATCTCAATCGAACAAGAGATCATTATCATTATTGGTGAACAATTCCTTTTAATTAATGCGGGTCCCTCAACTCTGTAGCATAATAAATCAACCAATCAATATATCAATAACTTATCCTGTTGGAGGAGTTCATTATTACTATTGAGATTCATTTACTATTAGGCGAGCACTTCCATTAAAATAATATGTGGGTCCCTTAACCACTGCATGAAAAATCGGATAACCAATACACTAATAACTTATTCAGTTGGCGAAGTTCATTATTGTTATTGGCGGGCAAATCCCATCATCTCCATATTTCTTAAGACAATGTCTTGTCTATTTATATGAAATGATTCCCGATTATGTTTAGCCTTTCTAAAATCACCTAGTATAGACTACTACGTTGGGGAGCTAACACTATTGATTTTAGATTGAGTGTATAACGTTATTAATGCTCTAATGAAAAATAAAACATTAAATATCTTGTCATTATAATCTAGACTCTTTAAATCATGCATAGGGCCTTATTTTTAAAGATCTAATTACAATAAGCATTTAATATTATTATTTTCATGAGATAACCATTCTTGTAATATTAAGACTCTTCAAATCATGCATGGTGCCTTATTTTTGAAAATCTAATTACAATGGTGTTAATAACGAAGTCCATGGGGCAATATATAAAAATCCCCGCTCCCACTCAATTTTTAATCGTTCATAATTAGGGTTTTCATTTTATTCATTTACATGATATAATGCATGCAAAACGTTTTGATTTTAATCCAATTAAATTTAGAAAATATTTGGACTTTAAACGATTCACTAATATTTAATTTGAAGCACACTTTAAAAATAATTTACAAAAAATAATTTTGCGTTTCCCAATAAGTGTCCTCAAATTAATTAGTAATCAGATCCACTTAATTTTCATAATTTAATAAATATAAATCAAGTCATTTAATTAAATATCATGGATCCAATGCATGAATAATAACTAATTAACAATTATCTATTCCATACATTTCATACATCGCATAATTAAATAAATGACAAATAAAGCAAATAAAATGGCCAATGGAATCAGCTTTTAACATTTAATTGCTCTAAGTATTGTGCGAGGGTCCACCACCGACTTGTAAACACCTGTATAGAGCTGGTACGCGCTTGCGGAGGCAAAACAGCACTTGGAACGCGCCCGGAGGGCCCCACATGCGCTTACACGCGCCTGGGGCATGCACCAGGTGAAGGCACGCGCCCCCACGCGCTGGCACGCGCTTGGGGCGCGTGGGACGCGCCCCCACGCACCAGGGGCGCGTTGGACGAGCCTCCATGCACCTGCACACGCGTGGAGGTAACACAACTTTAGTTGGCGCGTGCAAGGCACGCGCCAGCATGTGATGCAAATGCCACCTCCTGGCGCGTGTTCCTCACGTGCCAGCATGTGATGCAAATGCCACCTCCTGGCGCGTGTTCCTCACGCGCCAGGCTTACCCTCTATGCACCACATCTGATTCCAGCCTCCTCTGACGCCTCTTCTTGCCGCTGGCGATGCTTCGGCCATCGGAAAAACGCCGAAAAATTCCAGAAAAATCAGAAAAATTCCCAGAAAATTAAATTAAGCCTCAAAATATTCCAGAAAAATTCCAAAAAATTCGGAAAAATTTCAAAAAATTACTGAAGCATAATTTAACCCTTTTGGACCTTCTTGAAACTTCATAGCATCCTTTGATGAATATTGCATGGCTTTAAAAATATTTACAACTTGAAATATAATGGAAAAAATTAAATTATATCATTGAACTTTCAAACGGCTAAATCAAAGCCTTAATTACATTCATCCAAAGATAAAATTACATTCAATTAACCTATAAGCTTCATCCATGGCCCAAACATACATCATCATTCCTTCACAATTATACATACATCATGATCATATAATAATATAAACATATGCATATATAAATTTGGATCCATGAATGATGGTTTTCATAAAATCATGATCTCTAGTAATGAATCAAACCATGCTCTGATACCACTGTTGGGAAACGTGCAAGTTTTAAAAACTTTTCGAGGGATTTTGATTCATAGATCTTGATTCATCACATAGAGACAAGTTTTATACAAAAATAAAAATATGATGTATCATTCAATTAATGGATTGAATACTTACATCAAAGGTCTGAGTAAACCTTTAAATCTTTCCTCTAAAGTGAATGTTCTCACTTATTGTAGATCCCTTAGCAAGATACCTTCTCCTTGGATCTCTATTTTCTTGGTAATTGTTATACCTTTAGGAGTCACTCATAAGCCTCCATGAATGACCTTGGAAAAATAGGCTTGTGGGAGCCTCCATTAGATGAAAACATTAACCTTAATTTTTTTAGAGAGAGAAAATTTATTCCTTTTTTTCTTCTTCTAAAAATCACCATCCAAATATACATAGACCATGTATATTTATAGGCAACATAAAGGTAAAGAAAAGGAAACAACGAATCCTTCTCAGTCTTTAATTTACATGTCTCAAATCTAATATGATTCCAATATCAAGTTGGGCTATGAGTGAGAATCTATTGGGCCTATTATTTTATTGGTTACAATGAATTAATAATTGGCCCGGTCCATGGATCCAATTTAATTAATTCATAAATTAATTTCTACTCCACTAAAAGAAATTAATTGAACTCCAATTAAATAATAAATAACCTGTAAGTCAATATTGCACTTTGACCCCTCTATGCATAATTAGTTATCAGATAAATAAAGCTATCAATCCGATTACTTAATTAATATATTTATTTTGGTACCATTGATTATTTCTGGCTCGATCACAATAAAACATTTGTTTGACAAAAATAATTATTTAATAAATAAATATATAATAAATCATTTTGTCTAAAACCACACGAAGGCCTTCGAATTTACTTTGTGATCAACCATAATCAATACAAAATAAATACAAGTAGCAATGATGCAAATATTGAAAATATAACCCTCTAACTATTAATCACATAACTACCCAAAGTGTCGGTCTAAGGATCCCGAAGAATCCGCCGAACAAATCAAAGTAATTATTAATTAATAAAAGAGTCTATAATTTTCTCATACTTAAGAGTCAAATGCCATGACGATGATAGGGAGCAATTGCATACGACGGCTCTCGCAATATATCTCAACCTAACACGGATCCAGTTCAAGTCTTAATTAATTATGAGTCCATCCATAATTACCGACTATGAACAATTTATAATTACTATTTATATATTATGCATTGATTGCCATCACTTACATATATATATATATATATATATATATATATATATATATATATATTTCTTGTAATCACAGGGACACTATCAATTTCATAGTGAATCAAAACATAATACATTGAATTCACCAATTATATAAATCATAAATATTTCAGATATGTCAGGAACATATGTCACTATAATCCAGATGGAAATTTGCTATGCCAAGGCATATAAATCCCAACACTAACAACTTGGCTCCCTCAATGTTGCCAGATTTTGCTGCAAAATGAAGACTCGTCTTACCATTATCATCAGCTACAGTCACATCCTCTGGTGACATGAACCGCAGTAGATTACTCACAAAATGCTTTCTCCGCATACAACCAACTGCTGCCATGAGTATTGTACTCTTCGATCTAGTGATGCCTGCTCTGACTACATCTCTATCTCGTTCCAAGAATGCTCTGACTTCGTTCCAGTCACCTCTCAGTGTAGCCCTATACACCAGGAGGTAAATGTCTTCGTCTTTCCTTGCAACTTCTTTGTTTATTACTGGCATCAAAATTAAACCAACATAAAAATAAACCAAGGAGCTAGAGAGTGCACGCTTCCTCTTTCTTTTGGCTCTTTAATTGGATTTCAGTTTTAGTATCATGGCTCACCTTTTTCAGTGATTAATTCTTTCTACAGTAATCAAATTTTCCCACACTGTAGTTTTCCTTATAAAGCTTCATGGCAGGAGCGGAGCCAGAATTTTACTTTTGGTGTGTGTGTGGGGGGGAAAGAAATTAGAACTATCTACCTAAAATTTGAAAAAAAAAAAAGAAAAAAATTTAAATTATAAATCAATAGAATTTTTTTTTTTTTTTTTTTTTTTTTTTTTTTTTTTTTTTTTTTTTTTTTGTAAAATATTAGTCTTAGTATATTTATTGAGAAAATTGCAACTGAAATAAATAGAAATGAAAATTTGATAAAAAAAAGAAAATACATAGAGAAGAGAAAATGATAAGATATGTAAAAAGACAAATGTAAAGAAACTTAAACAAAAATAATTTTTCTTCAACAATTGTTCCAATTTTCTAAAAACTCAAATTTTTTTTTTTTTTTTTCAGGATTTTGATTTACTTTGGGAAAGATATATCATTATTTACTTGATGAATATTAAAAAAAATGAAATGTACCATTTTAACTAAATAAATCTGGCAAGCTTCAATAAAACACTTGGTACGAATAAATAGAAAAGTAGTTAATAAGTACTTATGTGAAGAGTAGTTACAAAATTTGTCATTTAATAAGTGACAACTAAAATTATTAACATATATTTTATCATAGTTTTTATTCACATTTTTGCCATTTTAATATCACAAAACTTTAATTTTTCCTTTTTCCTAATGCTCCAAAAGTCTTGCAGATGGACATTAGCATATAATTTAAGATAATTTTTAAACTATGTTAAATTTCAAAAAAAAAAAATATACAAGTTATATTTATTTTCCAAACTTTTAGGGCCAACTGAAATTTTTTATGGGTTTTTGGATCAAACGTTGAATTTATTTACTAAATAACTATTTAATCTTTGTGGGGGTATAAAAGAATTTTTGAATTTTTTGGGCCTAGACTGGCCCCCTCTCCCTTCACCCGTGCTTGATGGGACCAAAATCCCTCCTCACGTTAACCTGTACTAGGTATGGGTACTTTACAAAAGATTGATGCAGATGAGTTTCGCATTGTGTTAACGCTAAAATCGGCTGGCTTAGCTGATTCTAAATTGATCTGTTGCGGGCGTGCCAGAACCAACAATGTGGTTCGAATGTGTTTAGTTAACGATAATCTCTTTGAGAACTTTGACTTTCAAGCAATGTGAAGAGAAAGAGAACAAATATACTCCTCTGTGAGTTCAATATTGCCTTATCTAAAATGACTTTTAATCAGTGAATAATTATAATAACGTTTTGATATAGAAAGGGGAGAAAAGATAGATATAGAAAGTGATAGGGAGAAGAGATAGAGAGAGAGAGAGATAGAACGAGATTGAAATAGAGAGGGAGAGAGATTGTAATATTCCTAATTTTAAAAGAATGGTCTCGGTATTTATTTAATTGTTTTATTTGCATTTTTATATTATTTATTTGATTTCTTGACTATTTGTTGAATTGCTTATTTGAATTACTTGTTTATGCAGTTATTTGAAATAAGTTGTTTATTTATTTTGTATGATCAGTTTTTGTTTGCGTATATGTTAAGTGTTTAGTTGTAATTAATTGTTAGGAATTAAATAATTTAAATGTTTGTTTTATTTTATTTTAATTATGTTTTTAAGGATGGACTTGGATAGTAGTAATGGACCACCCAATGGGTTGCATAGATTATTTGGATATGATTAATTCTGGGTATGGATAATTACCCATAGGGTGTAGTACATATATATATGGGTATATATGTATATTTATGAATATTATATTTATTAATATTTTAAATAATTCATATTAATAATTATAGTTAGTTGTATATATATATATAGTTATACGTTAATTGTGTGTGTGTGTGTATATATATATATATATGTTTTTATCACGTACAAACTTATATGTATTTATTCTTTTATTTTTATTTTTTATTTTTTTTTAATTTTCTTTTCCTTTTCCTTAGGTAATTAGAATTAGGTTAGATTATATTGGTCTATATATACGTGTGTATAGTCTGCCAAGGGTTTAGAACCTTATTCACGTAACAATGGAGGCAGACAAAATACAGAGAGTTTAGAGAGAAACTTAGAGAGGGAGAATTAGGATTTTGGCCCAGAACAAGGGCTGAACCAAGGAGAAGTTATTGAGGCTTGCTCGTGAGTTGAACCAGGAGCAACAGAGACTTTTGATGGCAGGCCAAGAATCACCGGAAAAACCTCGAAAGAAGACGGTTAAAGGTTTCAATTCGAAACCTTAGAGGCAAGTTCTTTTCCCACTCTCTCCGTTTGATTTGTGTTTCTATACATGCCTAGGAGATTCAAAGATACTTAAATAATATAATTAAACAATTATGCATGTTTGAATCGAATTAGAACAGAGGATTTCATAGTTTTATTCACCTGTTCTTGTTTTGTTTATTTTTGGATTTATGTTGCATGATTTGCTGTTTAAATTTAATCTTTACATGTTAGGACATCTAAAATAAATTATTATGGGAGTATGGGACTTAGATCGAAGATTAGAATTCTTATCAATGGAGGTTGGATGGAAAAACAAAGGAGTTACAGGAAGGGGTAGTCGACTATATTGAAGGGCATAGTAGACTACGCATAGTCGACTATATAAAAGGGCATAGTAGACTACGCATAGTCTACTATATTGAAGGGCACTTTGAAGTAGTAGTCGACTATGTATAGTAACCTATCTTGAAGGCATAGAAGACTACGTATAGTCAACTATGCTGAGGGCACAGTCGACTATATTGAGGGTGGTTTTAGATGTGATTTGAGTTTCTTGGTTATTTTTGCCATAATGTGTATTGTTCCATTTTAATTGCTTTAAATGATTTAAATGGACATGGAAAAATCCCAGAATGCATAATATACCGTAATATGTTATGGACTTGAACAATATGAAATTTTAAAATAAATTTGCATACTGTTATTGAATATAGGTGTTTTAAATTGCTTACTTTTGTTCAAGCAATTTTTTATGTATGGTTATAAATTTTAATCATGTTTCAGCAGTATAATATGCTCAGTTAATTATCTGATTTTTATTATGCATAGTATTCGGATTTTATTGATGTATTATTTTAATTATTTCATCAATTATTGGATTGTATGTATGTGATGCACCAGTATGGGATGGTGGCATCTTAGGGACGGATTAACTAATAAAAGTTAAGTCCTACCTACTTAGATATATAAGTGAATGGATTAGCTATAGAGTTAAGTCCACCTTATTTATGTCAGACCACTATATCATAATGGATGACATTTTTATCTTATGCTTATACGGACTTTATATATATGATTATGGTGCCATGATATGAGCTTGAGTCTCAGGATCATGGTTAGGGTGTGTAATACTCCTAATTTTAAAGGGATAGTCCTGGTATTTATTCTATTATTTTAAATGCATTTTTACTTGTTGACGTGCATATGTGTTAATTTTATTACTTTAATTGTGGTTTATTATTGACTTGTTTTCTTTGTTGGGATTCTTTGTTGTGATTTAATTGAATTTACTTATTTAAATTGTTCTAATTTAGTTGGGGTAATTATAGTAATTATTTGGTTGTTTTAATTAAATTAATTAGTTGGTTGTTTTAACTGATTTAAGTCTAACTGATGAATTGTTTAAATGCATTTATTTTATTAAATATAATTGTTTTCTAAACTTAACGTGACTGTAGAGTTGGTTGCATGTATGGTATACACATAAGTAGCCGACATTGATATTATAAACTAGTTGGGTTTTATGGGCCGAGTTTTAGTTTAGGGTTTAGGTGGACTTAGATTTAAGGTGGCCTATAAATATATGTCGGGTTTCAGTTTAGGGTTTTAGAACCCAATTCACGGCATACAGAAAATAGAGAGACGTGTAGAGGAATCTGGGAGAGAACACAGAGGGGAAAACCAAAGGATTACCGGAAAAGTTTAGAAGGAAGACGTTAAGATTTTTGAACCGAATCTCACAGGCAAGTTCTAATACTAACTCTATCTCTTTGGCCTGTGTTCTTTGCATCCCTAATTAAATTCCAGGATAAAATAAATTTAATTTAATTTGTTTTAACTTGGTTTGCACGGTTATTTGATTTTTAAAACAATATGTGTTTTCTGTATCTGAAACTTGTTCGTTTTTAAACGGTTTTGCATAACTCTTGTTTTAATGGTAATTGATTAATGTTTAATGAGTTTAAATAGTTTTGGAGGATGGTTCTATGCATCGTTAATACAATCCCAGGAGGAAGTAAACCGTTAAATTAATTTTTGGTTGCATAGAAATTGTTCAACATCGTGTGTGTTATCGATTGGGTTTTTGGGCTTGTTTTAATCTGTTTGCAATAATTCTTGTTCCAATTAGTTTTGATTAATGAACAATGAATTTAATTAACTTTGGAACACTCTAGGACTGAGTTTTAATCAATAATAAACTTGGGTTTGAGGAATACAGTTGCCGGACATCGCCGGAATTGGAAACGAAGACACACAGGGGAAAAGCCTGCTCTAATTAGATTAGAGTAGGCTTAACAAAAGGGTAGAGCTGGCTTTACCTTAGGTAGATCCAGCTCTTTGGGCTTTAGAGGTGGCTCCACCATGTGTGGAGCCGGCTCTACTAGGATGTGGAGGCGGCTCTACTTTGGATAGAGCTGGCTCCTTCGATTTTGCTTCCAGTTTTGATTTCCTGTGAGACCTGGGCTACGGAGATTGAACTCTTCTTGTTCTAAGCTGAAAACAGAGTGTTTTTAAAGGTATTCAGAGAGGTCTAAACCTGTATTAAATTTTCAGAAGGCCTGGTAATTCATAATCTTCTCTAAGAAGCTAAGATAGGGAACAGCCAGAAACTCTTAGGAAAGAGATCAATATTA